CCACAGTTTGTCCGGTCAGCCCCCACCCTGTCTGCCTTTAGGCAATCTTTGAAAACTCACTTATTCAGGGACGCCTACCCCACCTCCACCTAAGAACTGTACTTGAATCACCTCCACCAGATCATCCCCCACAGCTATCACCTTTTGTATCACCTCAACCTTCCTTTAGATTGTAAGCTCCACGCGCAGGGCCCTCATATTCCTTCTGTACTGAAATGCATTGTAATTGTACTGTCTCCCTTATATTGTAAAGCGCTGCGCAAACTGTTGGCGCTATATAAATTCTGTATTATAATAATAATAATAAGCACTGACACTATACTAATGACACTTGGCAGGAAGGGGCATCACTAGCTGCCAATGGTGGCGCGGATAGGGCGGCATGCGTGCCCCATACTCCGAAATTCAAACCGCATATATACACGTGAATTTGTGCAGCCCTGTCACCCAGTAGCTGTAATTCTACTATAGGGCGGTAGGCAAACTCACAACCTGACTGATAAGGATGAAAACAATGAAAAGACATGATGGTAAACAAAGAGACTATAATAAAATATAGTAAATAAATAACAATGGTATTCATGATATTATGAATTTTATTTTATCTATTTATCTATTTTTACATATTTATAATATAGGATATAGACCTTTCTTTAATTATGTACAGTTGTGCTCAAAAGTTTGCATAAATTTTGGCATCGATATTGAAAATATGACTGATCATGCCAAAAAATGCTCTTTTATTGAAGGATGAGGATCATATGAAGCCATTTCTTATCAAATAGTTGTTTGGCTCCTTTTTAAATCATAATGACAGAAATCACCCAAATGGCCATGATCAAAAGGCAACCTCAAAAGAAATACAGGCTGCTTTTTAAACACTTGCCGACAAGCCACTATAGAAAAATGGCCACAGGGTGGCACCCCTGCGTAAAATCACGTTTTAAAACGTCATTTTGCAAAACCGGTAGGGGGAGCGCGCCCGCCCTACCCACACCGCTGATTGTGGCCGCGGCTGTCAATCACCGGGTCCCGGATGGTCATTACCCGCCGGGTCCCAGCGATTACCGCCAATCACTGACAGGGAGCACGGCTGCAGTGTTTAAACTGCAGCTCTGCTCCCTGTCAGTTCCCAACACACTGATCCTGAGAGCGGAGTTTAGCTCTCGGGATCAGTGTGTTCCTGTGAAGTACACACCCCCCGCCCACTAGTAAAACACTCCCCTCACACAGTTAACCCTTTTATTGAATAAAAATGTGAACCCTTTCCTCCCCAGTGCCATTAGTACAGTGTCAGTGTTTTTTGTTCCACTGATCACTGTATTGGTGTCACTGGAGATGTCAGTGACCCCCAAGTCAGTTCCCCCCCCCCAGTGTCAAAATGTCCGCCGCAGTCCTGCAGTCCCACTATAAGTCGCTGATCATTGTCATAAATCACTGATCACCGCCTTAAGTCGCTGATCGCCACCATTATTATTATAAAAACAAAAATCCCAATATCTTTCCCGCCATTTGTAGACACTATAACTTTCACGTAAACCAATTAATTTACACGTATTTGGATTTGTTTTAGCAAAGACATGTCGCAGAATACATTTTGGCCAAAATTTTAGACAAAATTTGATTTTACATTTTTTTTACTGGACATGTTTTATAGCAAAAAGTCCAAAATATTTTTTTTTTTTCCTCAAAATTGTCAGCCATTTTTTTTATAGCGCAAAAAATAAAAAACGCACAGGCAATCAAATGTGATCGAAAGAAAGCTCAATTCGTGGGAAAAATGGAATTAAATTTTAATTTGGGTGCAGTGTTGCATGACCGCGCAATTGTCAGTTAAAGTAACGCAGCGCCGTAACACAAACTGCTTCTGTAACCACTTCCTGACCGCCCTATAGCAGAAATACTGCTACAGGGTGGCACATGTGCGCAGAATCACATATACTGTATATATATATATATATGATTTGTGCCCCCGTGGTTTTCACGCCCCTCCCAGATGGTGTCAGATTGCCGGTCAGTACACCAGTCATCACATTTAACCCCTTGACTGCCGGGAACACACTCATGCACAATAAACCTCCATTACTAGTATAGTGTCTGAACGGATCAATATCTTTGATCAGATCAGCACTATACCAGCGTTCACATTAGTATAGCATCCCCAAAAACGCAGCGTTAGTGGGGATCAGCCCTGGCACCTGCCAGCACCTGCGTTTAGCCCCTACGCTTACCCTCTGGTATCATTTTTTTCAGCCGACGATCAGCTTTCATATAAAAGCAATCCTAGTGGCTAATTAGCTACAGGATTGCTTTTACAAGCAGTGGAAGATGATGCCCCCCCTCCCCCGCTGCCTTCCACGGCCTTCTCGGGCAGTCCCGCGCCATCGGGGGAACCTGAGAATGCAGCCAGTGATTCTGCCAGCTGACCATAGAGCTGATTGGAGACCAGAATGGTGCCAATCATCTCTATAGTCTAAGAAATCAGAAGCTACGAGCATTTCATCACTTCAGTTTCGCAGGATATAAACAGCGCCATTTGTAAATTGGGAAAGCATCTGATCACACCGATTTTAGTTTGATTCATTAATGTAAGGAGATATCTATAGTCTGATAGACCCCAGATTTCTGAAAAAAGAATATATGACAATGCCCATTGAAGTTATAGGGGATATTTGCATTCCCTGTGATAGCATTAAAAGTGATAAAAAAAAAACATGAAAAGTACAGTGTAAAAATAAAAAAAAAAATAAAATAAAAATATCGTAAAAAAAAAACCCTCGACCCTCTCATGCGCGCACAGCTGTGTGCACAAGCACTGACCCTGTGACATTAGGTAAACAGCGGTTGTGCCATACATGTGAGGTATCACCGTGAACGTCAGATCAAGGGCAGTAACACTAGACCCCCTCTGTAAATCTAAAATGGTAGCTTTTAAAGCGTTTGCCTATTGATATTAAAACTGTATGCAGTTTGTCGCCATTGCACGGAGAATGCAGTTTTAAAGCATGTCATATTTGGTATCTATTTACTCGGCATACCATCATCTTTTATATTTTACCAAATAATTGGCCAATATATTGTGTTTTTGTGCATTAAAAGTAAGTGTTTTTTTTTTTTTTTAATTTGCTTTTGAAAAATCACTGCACGAGTACTTTGTGACATAAAAAATTGTAGTACCCACTATTTTATTCACTAGGGTGTCTGCTTTAAAAAATATATATAATGTTTGGGGGTTAAATTAATTTCCTAGCAAAAAATACAGATTTGTTTCATGTGAACAAAAAATGTAAGAAAAGGCTTGATCTTCAGGTAGTTAGAAGAGTGAGTGATGTGTGGCATAAACTTCTAATTAGAGATGAGCGAAGTATTCAAAAATTCGATTCGACTGATTCGGCGAATTCGTGGAAAAATTTTGATTCGAGTCGAATATATTCGCTGCGAATTTAACTTATAAAAGGGTGTTTCTAGGCTTCAGAGAGCCTTTATATTAGTGCAGAACACTGTACCTTTAATTTAAATGCCCTTGGAGTCTGCTGGGGAAGAGAAATAATACTGACAGTCAGTATGACATGCAGATGAGTGCCGTCGATCTTAGAATCACCGCACACTTCACTCATTTGGGCAGTCACGGGGCCAAAACCAGAGTGTGGAGCCACAGTGTGGCGGTGGAGGCAGCAGCAATGGGAGGCCATACAGCACCCTATGACAAAAATGGAAACCACCAGCAGTGTGAGGAGACCTGAAAGTGGCACATGGCAGAGTGTGGCGATGGAGACAGCAGCAATGGGAGGCCGTACAGGGACCCATGACACACTCTGGACCTGGCAGCAGCATGAGGAGGCGGTACAGGGGCCCATGACAGATTACAGGCCTGGCAGCAGCATGAGGAGTAGGTACGGGGGCCCATGGCAGATTACGGGCCTGGCAGCAGCAATGGAAGGCCGTACAGGGACCCATGACACACTCTGGACCTGGCAGCAGCATGAGGAGGCGGTACAGGGGCCCATGACAGATTACGGGCCTGGCAGCAGCATGAGGAGTCGGTACGGGGGCCCATGACACACTCTGGACCTGGCAGCAGCATGAGGAGGCGGTACAGGGGCGCATGACAGATTACAAGCCTGGCAGCAGAAACTTGGACAGGAGGACGTTCAGCTTCTGCACCGTCGGGTGCGTGCTCGCAAACTGTTGTCTCTTGGAAACGAATTCCAAGAAAGACTGCTGACGGAATCCGTGAAGAGGAGTAGCAGGAGAAGGAGCATCTGAACGAGCGGAATATGCCAACAAGCGACAACAGGGGCCCATGACAGATTACGGGCCTGGCAGCAGCATGAGGAGTCGGTACGGGGGCCCATGGCAGATTACGGGCCTGGCAGCAGCAATGGGAGGCCCGTAATCTGCCAGCACCCTATGACAAAAAATGGAACACAACAGCAGTGTGAGGAGACCTGAAAGTGGCACATGGCAGAGTGTGGCGATGGAGACAGCAGCAATGGGAGGCCGTACAGGGACCCATGAGAGACTCTGGACCTGGCAGCAGCATGAGGAGGCGGTACAGGGGCCCATGGCAGATTACGGGCCTGGCAGCAGCAATGGGAGGCCCGTAATCTGCCAGCACCCTATGACAAAAAATGGAACACAACAGCAGTGTGAGGAGACCTGAAAGTGGCACATGGCATGAGACACTGTTAACCTGGCAGCAGCATGAGGAGGCGGTACAGGGGCCCATGGCAGATTAGGGGCCTGGCAGCAGCTATGGGAGGCCCGTAATCTGCCAGCACCCTATGACAAAAAATGGAACACACCAGCAGTGTGTGAGGAGACCTGAAAGTGGCACATGGCAGAGTGTGGCGATGGAGACAGCAGCAATGGGAGGCCGTACAGGGACCCATGACACACTCTGGACCTGGCAGCAGCATGAGGAGGCGCTACAGGGGCCCATGGCAGATTACGGGCCTGGCAGCAGCAATGGGAGGCCCGTAATCTGCCAGCACCCTATGACAAAAAATGGAACACACCAGCAGTGTGAGGAGACCTGAAAGTGGCACATGTTTGGGGCATGATTCATGGCGGATTTAGTCAGTTGTGTCAGGGAACTGGTGGTTTGAAAATCCAGGGACTAAATCCACGCCTGATTCATTTTCACAAACGTGAGTCTCTTCCACACTTTGGCTGGTGACAGTCGTGTCCTCCGCGGAGTTACAATACCTCCTGCCGCACTAAACACGCGCTCCGATGCCACGCTACTGGCCGGGCATGACTGCCTTTCAAGGGCAAATTCAGCTTTAGGGGCCAAAGGTCAATGTTTCATTGCCCAGTAGTCACAAGGGGATTGTCTACCTGCAGATGGGGTTGGCAGGGTGCTGTGTCCAAGTAGGCCTAAGCCTGTTGTTTGATGGTCCTGCTCCAGGTCCACCTGATGCTGCTGCTGCTGCGGCTGGTTAGTAGTTTCCTCACTGACTGCGCTGGGTGAAGAAAGCTACTCATCACATCGAGGACTGGACTGAGGCGCCGCTGCTGGTGGAGCTGCCACTGCTCCTACCACCCACCCCTCCCCTGCTGCCATGGCAGCGGACCGCGAGCGCACAGGGCCCACAGTGTCTGAGGATGGACGTTGGCGCACAAAGGCAGAAGACCAGCTGACTACATAGATGGTTTTTAATAGTACGTTATTTTGGCCTCCCTCTCAGCAGGTGTGAAAAAGGCCACCATTTTTGAACGGTAGCGAGGGTCCCAACAAGGTGTGATAGCCAAAAGTCATCCCTCTGTCTGATGGTTATTATTCGGCTGTCGCTACGCAAGCAAGCGATGAACATAGCTAATGGGCCATTTGTGCCAAGGGAATGCGAGGGACTCCCTGCCTCCATCTCCACAGCATACTGCCACGGTGCTGGGTCCTCTGTCTCCTCCTCCTCCTCCTCCTACCATGATGCTCCAGCTCCTCCACTCCCTGTCCGCTGAGTGGAAAAACCACCCATTTCACTCAATAATCCTGAGCACCAATGTCCACGCACACTCTACCTCCTCCTCTTCTTCCTGTCCTGCCCCACAGGGTCATGTGGCGTTGAGATCTGTGCGCCACGTCTACCGCACCCTGATCAGCCATTGTTAACAGCATTTGTTCCAGGACGTGCAACAGAGGAATGACATCGTCCCATCCCATAGTCCTGCCGACTCACGAATAGCGTGTGGCCTCCTCCAAAGGGCCTGAGCAAGCGCAGGTGGTCACGCCATGAGCTGCCAATGGCTGACATCTAAGTTACACAGGGAGTACCTTTAATCGTAACAACATGGGAAATCAGTGTATGGCCTATCGCCTGTTTTGATGAGATCGCTGTGTCGTAAAGTGGCGTGTTCTTCTAACATATGTAGGGTTGAATTCCACCTTGTTGCAACGTCACAGGCATGAGGAAAGGAAAAACTAACGTATCGGACGGGGCCCATGGCAGATTACTCGGGCCTGGCAGCAGCAATGAGTAGGCCCGTAATCTGCCAGCACCCTATGACAAAAAATGGAAACACACCAGCAGTGTGAGGAGACCTGAAAGTGGCACATGGCAGAGTGTGGCGATGGAGACAGCAGCATTGGAACTGGTGCCGTACAGGGACCCATGAGAGACCCTGGACCTTGCAGCAGCAATAGGAGGACAGGCACAATGGGTGCCCATGTCAGATTAGGGCCATGGCAGCAGCTACAAGGGAGGCCCCTAATCTGCCAGCACCCTAAACAACGCGCTCCGAACACACGCTACTGGCAGTGGCAGAGAGACTGCCTTTTCAAAAGTGGCAAATTCAGTGGTTGGCAGCCAAAGGCAGAAGTTTCATTGCCCAGTAGTAAGGGACCCATTTGTCTTACCAGCGTTGGCAGGGTGACTGCCCCAAGTGGGCCTAAGTTGTTTAGGTCCTGCTCCAGGCAGCATGAGGATTGCTGGCTGCTGCGGCACCATGACAAGTAGGGAACTCACTGCAGCTGGTGAGAGGAGCGTACTCTGCAACTCATCACATCGACAAAAATGCAGCACTGAGAGACCTGGCAGCAGAGCACATGGTGGAAATGCCACGCTCCTACCACCCACCCCTCCCCTGCTGCACATGGGCACCTGGAACAGCGAGCGCACGGGGCCCATTGCAGATTACGTGGAGGATGGAGCAGCGTAAGGGAGGCGCACAAAGGCAAGGCACCCAGCATGACTACATAGAATGGGTTTTTATAGTACGACTTTATTTTGGCCTCCATCTCCAGAGTGTGAAAATGGAGGCCACCAGCAATGGGGGTCCGTACAAGGTGGATAAGCCATGAAAAGTCATCCCTCTGTCTGATGGTTAGATGTCGCACTTCGCAAGCAGCGAGCAGCTACTGGGGCCATGCAGAAATTAGTGGCATGGTGAAAGGAATGCGAGGGACTACCTGCCTCCATCTCCACAGCATACTGCAGCACGGTGCGTCTGGGTCCCTGTCTCCTCCTCCTCCTCTACCAGATGCTCCATCCACTCCTGTTCCGTGGAGTGGAAAAAAACCACCCATTTCACTCAATAATGGCCTAACACCAATGTCCTCCCTCTATTCCTCCTCCTGAGCAAAGGGAGCGGTCCTGTCCTTCCAGCACCCACAGGGGGGGTCAAAAAATGTGGCACGTTGAGATCTGTGCGCCACGTCTCCCCACCCTGATCAGCCATTGTATAACACATTTGTTCCAGGAGTGCAACAGAGGAACAGACTCTGCCGTTCATCCCATAGTCCTAGCCGACCCTCACGAATAACGTGGCCTCCTCAAAGGGCCTGAGCAAGCGGCAGGTGTGCACATCAGCATGAGCCTGGCAATGATTAGGCTGACAATCTAAGTTACACAGGGAGGTACCTTTATATCCCTTGTGGAACACAGGAAATCTGTGGATGGCCTTTCGCTGTTCGTAAAGGGTCTAACATAGGTAGGGTTGAATTCCACCTTGTATGCAACCGTCACAGCAGCATGAGGAGTCAGGTACGGGGGCCCATTGGCAGATTAGGGGCCTGCAGCAGCTGCAATGGGAGGCCCGTAATCTGCCAGCAACCCTCATTATGACAAAAATGTAACAACACACAGCATGTGAGGAGACACCTGAAAGTGGCACATGGCAGAGTGTGGCGATGGAGACAGCAGCAATGGGAGGCCGTACAGGGACCCATGAGAGACTCTGGACTTGCGCGGCAGCAGCATGAGGAGGCGGTATAAGGGGCCCATGGCAGATTAGGGCCTGGCAGCAGCTATAGGAGACCCGTAATCTCTGCCCAGCACCCGTAATGCCAAAAGTGGAACACACCAGATAGTGAGGAGGAGCCCTGAAATTGGCACAATGGCAGAGTGTGGCGATGGAGACAGCAGCAACAAGAGGCCGTACAGAAGGGACCCTGAGAGACTCTGGACCTGGCAGCAGCATGAGGAGGCGGTATAAGGCGGGCCCATTGGCAGATTAGGGGCCTGGCATGCAGCTATAGGAGGCCCGTAATCTGCCAGCACCCTATGACAAAAAATGGAACACACCAGGCATGTGTGAGAGACACCTGAAAGTGGCACAAGGCAGAGTGTGGCGATTGGAGACAGCAGCAATGGGAGGCCGTACAAGGGACCCATGAGAGACTCTGGACTGGGCAGCAGCATGAGGAAGGAGGCGGTATAGGGGCCCATTGCAGATTAGGGGCCTGGCAGCAGCTATGGGAGGCCCGTAATCTGCCAGCAACCTATGTCAAAAAATGGAACACACCAGCAGTGTGTTGAGGAGACCTGAAAGTGGCACATGGCAGAGCTGTGGCGATGGACAGCAGCAGCAATGGGAGGCCGTACATGGGGACTCCCATGAGACACTGTGGACCTGGAGCCTTGCAGCATGAGGAGAGGCGGTAATAGGGGCCATGGCAGATTCAACCCTGGCAGCAGCTATGGGAGGCCCCCGTAATCTGCCAGCAACCTATGACAAAAATTGGAACACCACCAGCAGTGTGTGAGGAGACCTGAAAGTGGCACATGTCCAGAGTGTGGCGATGGAGACAGCAGCATGGGAGACCGAACAGGGACCCATGAGAGACTCTGGCTTGGGCCAGCAGCATGAGGAGGCGGTATGGGGCCCCATGGCAGATTAGGGCCTGGCAGCAAGCTATGGGAGGCCCGTAATTCTGCCAGCACCCTATGACAAAAAATGTGGAACACCCTGCCAGTGTGAGGAGACGTAAAGTGGCACTTGGCATGAGGGACACTGTGGACTGCAAGCAGCATGAGGAGGCGGTCATACAGGAGGCCCATGGCAGATTAGGGGGGCCTGGCAGCAGCAATGGGGAGGCCCGTAATCTGCCAGCACCCTAGATGACAAAAAATGGAACACACCAGCAGTGTCAGGAGACCTGAAAGTGCACATGGATCAATAGTTGGCGATGGAACAACAGCAGCACATGGGAGGCCGTACAGGGAAGTGCATGAGAGACACTGGACTTGGCAGCAGCATGAGGAGGCGGTACAGGGGCCCATGGCAGATTTCGGGGGCCTGGCAGCAGCTAAGGGAGGCCCGTAATCTGCCAGCACCCTATGACAAAAAATGGAACACCACCAGCAGTGTGAGGAGACCTGAAAGTGGCACATGGCAGAGTGTGGCGATGGAGACAGCAGCAATGGGAGGCCGTACAGGGAGCCCATGAGAGACTCTGGACTTGGCAGGCAGCATGAGGAGGCGGTATAGGGGCCCATGGCAGATTAGGGGCCTGGCAGCAGCTATAGGAGGCCCGTAATCTGCCAACAGCACCCTAATGACAAAAAATGAACACACAGCAGTGGTGTGTGAGGAGACCTGAAAGTGCCACATGGCAGAGTGTGGAGATGGAGACAGCAGCAATGGGAGGCCGTACTTAAGGGACCCATGAGAGACTCTGGACCCTGGCAGCAGCATGAGGAGGCGGTATACAGGGGCCCATGGCAGATTAGGGGCCTGGCAGCAGCTATGGGAGGCCCGTTTTTTTAAATCTGCCAGCACCCACAATATGTTCAAAAAATGGACACACACCAGCAGTGTGAGGAGACCTGAAAGTGGCACATGGCAGAGTGTGGCGATGGAGACAGCAGCAATGGGAGGCCGTTACAGGGACCCATGAGACACTGGACCTGGCAGCAGCATGAAGGCGGCCCGGTACAGGGGCCCATGGCAGATTAGGGGCCTGGCAGCAGCTATGGGGGCCCGTAATCTGCCAGCACCCTATGACAAAAAAATGGAAACACACCAGCAGTGTGTGAGGAGACCTGAAAGTGGCACATGGCAGAGTGTGTAGCGATGGAGACAGCAGCAATGGAGGCCGTACAGGGACCCATGAGACACTCTGGACCTGGCAGCAGCAATGAGGAGGCGGTACAGGGGCCCATGGCAGATTAGGGGCCTGGCAGCAGCAATGGAGAAGGGCCCGTAATCTGCCAGCACCCTATGACAAAAAAATGGAACACACCAGCAGGTGTGAGGAGACCTGAAAGTGGCACATGGCAGAGTGTGGCGATGGGCAGACAGCAGCAATGGGAGCACCGTACAGGGACCCATGAGAGACTCTGGACTTGGCAGCAGCATGAGGAGCGGTATAGGGGCCCATGGCAGATTAGGGGCCTGGCAGCAGCTATGGGAGGCCCGTAATCTGCCAGCACCCTATGACAAAAAATCCAAAAAAAAACACCAGCAGTGTATGAGGAGACCTGAAAGTGGCACATAGCATGAGTGTCGAAGAACACTGATGGACCTGGCAGCAGCATGAGGAGGCACTGGGTACAGGGGCCCATTATGGCAGATTATCCGGGGGCCTGGCAGCAGCTATGGGAGGCCCGTAATCTGCCAGCACCCTATGACAAAAAATGGAACACACCAGCAGTGTGTGAGGAGACCTGAAAGTGGCACATGGCAGAGTGTGGCGATGGAACAGCAGCAAATGGGAGGCCGTACAAGGGACCCCATGAGAAACACTGTTGGACCTGGCAGCAGCATGAGGAGGCGGTACAGGGGCCCATGGCAGACATAGGGGCCTGGCAGCAGCTATGGGAGCCCGTAATCTGCCAGCGCACCCAAAATGTCAAAAAATGGAACACACCAAAGCAGTGTGTGAGGAGAAACCTGGAAAGTGGCACATGGCAGAGTGTGGCGAACAGAGACAGCACGCAATGGGGAGCCGTCGTAGGACCCATGAGACAATCGTGGACTAACTGGCAGCAGCATGAGGAGACGGTACAGGGGCCCATGGCAGATTAGGGCCTGGCAGCAGCTATGGGAGGCCCGTAATCTGCCAGAACCCTAAATAAAACAAAAAATTGCAAAACACACCAGCAGTGTGAGGAGAACCTGAAAGTGGCACATGGCAGAGTGTGGCTGATGGAAGACAAGCAGCAATGGGAAGGCCCGTACAGGGACCCATGAGAGAACTCTGGACTTGGCAGCAGCATGAGGAAGGCGGTATAGGGGGCCCATGGCAGATTAGGGGCCTGGCAGCAGCTATGGGAGGCCCTTAATCTGCCAGCACCCTATAGAAAACAAAATTGAACACACCAGCATTGTGAGGAGAACCTGAAAGTGGCACATGGCAGAGTGTGTGCGATGGAGACAGCAGCAATGGAAAGGACCGTACAGGTACCCCATGAGAACACTCTGGACACTGCAACAAAGCATGAGGAGGCGGTATAGGGGGGTCCCATGGCCAGATAGGGGCCTGGCTGCAGCTCATGGGAGGCCCGTTAATCTGCCAAGCACCCTATGACAAAAAATGGAACACACCAGCAGTGTGTTGAGGAGAACCTGAAAGTGGCACATGGCGAGCTGTGGCGATTGGACGACAACAGCAGTGGGACGGCCGTTACAGGGACCGACATGAACACTGTGACCTGGCAGCAGCATGAGGGGAGGCGGTACAGGGGCCCATGGGCAGATTAGGGGCCTGGCAGCAGCTATGGGAGGCTTCGTAATCTGCCAGCACCCTATGGACAAAAAATGAACACACCAGCACGCATGTGAGGAGAACCTGAAAGTGGCACATGGCAAAAAGAGTGTGGCGATGGAGACAGCAGCCAATGGGAGGCCGTACAGGACCATGAGAGACATCTGGACACTGTGGCAGGCAGCAGCATGAGAGGCGGTATAGGGCCCATGGCAGATTAGGCCTGGCAGCAGCTATGGGAGGCCCGTAATCTGCCAGCACCCTATGACAAAAAATGGAACACACCAGCAGTGTGAGGAGAACGTGAAAGTGGCACATGGCAGGGGCATGATTCATGGCGGATTTAGTCAGTTGTGTCAGGAACTGTGGTTTGAAAAATCCAGACCTAATCCACGCCTGATTCAATTTGCACACAAACGTGAGGTCTCTCCACACTTTGGGGTGGACTGTCGTGTCTTCCGCGGAGTTACAATACCTCCTGCCGCACTAAACACGCGCTCCGATGTCCACGCTACTGGCCGAGCATGACAGCCTTTCAAGGGCCCAAATTCAGCTAGTTGGGGCCAAAAGGTCAAGTTTCGTTGCCCAGTAGTCAAGGGGATTGTCTACCTCGGTTGGCAGGGTGCTGTCCAAGTAGGCCCAAGCCTGTTGTTTGAGGTCCCTGCTCCAGGTCCACCTGATGCTGCTGCTGCTGCGGCTGGTTAGTAGTTTCCTCACTGCGCTGGTGAAGAAAGCTACTCATCATCGACTGCAGACTGAGGCAGCCTGCTGCTAGGTGGAGCTAACCACTGCTCCTACCACCCCCCCCACCCCTCCCCTGCTGCCATGGCAGCGGAACGCGAGCGCACAGGGCCCACAGTGTCTGAGGATGGATGTTGGCGCACAAAGGCAGAGACCAACTGACTACATAGGTGTGGTTTTATAGTACGTTTATTTTTGACCTCCCTCTCAGCAGGTGTGAAAAAGGCCACCATTTTTGAACGGTAAAGCGAGGGTCCAACAAGGATGGACAGCCAAAAGTCATCTCTCTGTCTGATGGATTATTATTCGCTGTCGCTACGCAAGCAACCGAGCATGCTATGGGCCATTTGTGCCAAGGAATGCGAGGGACTCCCTGCCTCCATCTCCCACAGTCATACTGCCACGGTGGAGCGTCTGGGTCCTCTGTCTCCTCCTCCTCCTCCTCTACCAGATGCTCCTGCTCCTCCACTCCTGTCTCTGAGTGGAAAAAAAACCACCCATTTCACTCAATAATTCCTGAGCACAAATGTCCTCCTCTACCTCCTCCTCTTCTTCCTGTCCTGCCCCCACAGGGGTCATGTGGCGTTGAGATCTGTGCGCCACGTCTACCGCACCCATGACCAGCCATTGTTAACAGCATTTGTTCCAGGACGTGCAACAGAGGAGAATGACGTCGTTCATCCCCACCACATGCGTACTGCCGACTCACGAATAGCGTGGCCTCCTCAAAGGGCCTGAGCAAGCGGCAGGTGTACCACGCATGAGCTGCCAATGCTGACCATCGAAGTTACACAGGGGAGTACCTTTATCCGCTTGTAACATCAGGAAATCTGTGATGGCCTTTCGCTGTTCGTGAAAGGCGGTCTAACATGTGTAGGGTTGAACTTCCACCTTGTGCAACGTCGCAGATCAGGCGATGCTGTGCTCAATTCCGTTCTGCCACTGCAGCTCAAGGAGGGTGTGCTTTGCGGTGTAGGAATGGCTGAAATGCATGCAAAAGTTTTACGTGACATTTTAAGGATGTCTTGCAGTGGGATGGTGGATTTTAGGAACCGCTTGACAACCAGATTGAACACGTGAAAGCCATGCATGGCGCATGGCACAACCTTCCTTGACGCAGAGCAGACCACCATGTTCTTTCCGTTGTCGGATCAACATGGTTCCGATTTTCATTTTGCGTGGAGACAGCCATCTGTCGATTTCTCTGTTCATTACACTCAGTAGTTCCTCTCTCCCTGTGTGACTCACGTCGCCAAGGCATACCAGTGCAGCACAGCGTGACACCGTTGCGCCCTGCACATGTAATATGCCGGTCTGGTAATGGGACCTTGGCACGGGGTGGCGGCTGAGTGGACACGGCGGATTGAAGAGGTGGTAGAGGCGGACATCTTTTGTGGACCAAGGACGTGCAAACGTGGAGGCAAAAGCGGCGTGGACACTGTCCAAGCGTTGCTGGTGCGGCTGTGACGGCACCCACGTTCACCCAGTGGGCCGTATAAATGACATGTACTGTCCCGTGACCGTAGTTACAGCTCACACGTCGGCGCTGCCGTGCACTTTGGCAGAGACCAACGACATGCTCAAAAAGACTGGCCCACCATCTCTTGTCTACATGTGATGCAGGGTCTGGCACTGCCTTTTTGGCGAGAAATGACGGCTTGGCACTCTCCACCGCGGCGCGGCACAACGCCATCATTTCTCGGTAAAAGGTGCTGAGTCCACCACTTGGAAAGGGACGGGACTGCAGCACCAGCAACTTGGACAGGAGGACGTTCAGCTTTTTGCACCGTCGGGTGCGTGCTTCACAAACTGTTGTCTCTTGGAAAACGGATTCCAAGAAAGACTGCTGACGGAATCCGTGAAGAGGAGTAGCATGAGAAGGAGCATCAGAACGAGCGGAAGATGCCAACGAGCGACAACTCCCGCCTCAGCAGAGGTGTTGGAGCATTGACTGGCGTGATAGAGGGCGATTGGACGTCGGGTGACGGAGCAAGTAACGGAGCGGGTGATGGAGCGGGGGCTGGGGCAGGCAGAACCGACCGTATCTTTATCACGGTTTTCCCAGGCCACCCAAATGGCGACGCTGCATAGCTGACGCAACGCTGTAGTCCCAACATGGGCCACCTGGCACACCGCTTGACTTTCTGGCCACATAGGTCGACATACGGCTACCGTTTACTTCCTCGGGCGGCTTGACAAAAAATTGGCCACACCGCCGAGTAGGAAAAAACTTTGCCACCGAATACTCCTCACTGGCTATGACTGCGCTGCTTCCTCCCGTGCACCACCGGCACCACTACTGAGGCCGTGGTGGTAGGCTGCAGTGGAGCTGGTGCTGTACTCCGTGGCCGTTTGCCTCCACTGACACTGCTGCGACCCCTGCTGCCTCCTGGGCAACCCCCCGACTGTTTTGCTCGCTGCCAAGCTGCCACCCTCTTCTCCTGATGATGCGGAAAGCAATTATCCTGATGTTGACGAGGCTGCCAAGTGCGATATCAGCCTCATCATCATCACAATTACTAGGGTCTCCGCCTCACTACTAGCCCCCTCTCGGCTGCGTGTGGGTCAGGAGACAGACCTGTCTCTAGACCGGCTACCGAGCCACTCTCCTCGCCACTACTTCTTCGCCTGGCTGCTGAAGAGGCGGATGTCTCCCCCCGTTCCTGACCGCCCTCTGTTAGCCTCTTCCTCACTGTACAGTGGGGCTGGGCCCACAGCATGCGATACTTCGCTTGGTGAGGGAACACCAAAGGACAGGGCAGGTAGAGGACACGTGATTTCAGTGGGCTTGCTCCCGGGCCATGTGCCAACTAACGGTTGTGTCTGACGTACCCACCGACCGTTGGCTGGTAGGTGTCAGAGGTGACCTGGGAAGAGGAAGACGACCGAGCCAACCAATCGATGACGGCAGGG